ATATATTTGTTTAACAGTGAATATAAATTTACATAAATGACCCCTTTATTTTTGTCTTTTATTCACAATCCATACAAATTATAAAAAGTCTCTCGACTCTTTTTTTGGTAAAATCACCTACACTTATTTCTTATAAATTTTTGTTGTTTTTGTAGCTCATTATCATACAACAAATAAATTTTAAAACTTGGATTTTTCAAGAAAAAAAATACTACTTATTGTTTTACGAAACGATTCTGCCACATATCAAAATCCGAGTAAATATTTTGTTTTTTTATAATTTTCAACAATGTAATTTTCTTCTTCATTTTTTTTCATACATTCACCTTTTTTCCTAATTTTAATTTTTTTGCTGTGTTGTTCTAAGATTTAATCAAAAGTTTTTTGAACTTAGTTTTTTAATAATTTTTACGTCTCATATGTGATATGCTATACTAGTTTAATCAATTCTCATTTAAAACACCTAAAAACCCGCAACAGAGCGTGACTCAAATACTAGTTCATAAATAATACATAAGTAGAAGTGTAAAATATCGAAATTAGAAACCTATAATTATTTTAAAAAAACATTAGACTAAATTATAATCGGATTGAAACAAATCAACAATAGTATATACCGATGGTAAATAGATAACTTTGTCCGATAAGGTAATAAGTTAAAATATAAAAAATATATATAATTATCATTTTAAACATTATAAATGAGAGCTTATCCCATTCGAATCCCATATAATTATATTCTTTTGTCCACATTAACGAATTTAATTAATACTTAATCACTTACATTAAATATTATAAAAATAACAATGAAGTTGTTGATAAAATAATTAAGAAAGATAGAATTAAGTGTTCTAAGTATTTTTAATTCGATTTAAAATAATTACCTATACATTTTAATTGGATTTCAAAATGACAATCAAATTAGTGGAGTCAGTCCATGGGTGGAGTGGGATCGGAATTGGAAATACGAAGTCCATGTGCTTTAATGTGGGTCAATTCAATAAAAGCCAATAATGGTCGTTGAGGAGTTGAGGTGAGGTGATGTCAAATTGGTCAATTCTGGAGTGTACAAGTTGGTCAATTTTGTTTCGTTTTCGTCAACTTTATATTCGCGTTAATTTGGGGTTGGCAAAAACTCGAACAAAAAATCAAAAACCAAAAACTAAATTAAGATACCACAAAATTTATGTGTTTTTCTTGTTCCATTAAATGATAACTACATATCTTTTGAAGTTATTGATATACATAAAAATATAAAATGCTTGCAATGTTTACGCCTTGGACTCGAGGGCTCGAGGTCGACGCAAAAAGTTTTATAAGTGGGGGTTAAAAAAATCCGGTGAAGCCCTACTTTTAATGGAGGGAACATTAGAAATTTTTTTTTTTATATATTTGATTAGTTGCTTTCATTAATAAATTAAATTAAATATGTATTCGTTCGTTGCGTATAAATAAAATAATACGGTTAAAATATGGGAGCAGTTAATTCCACTGTTTTATTTTATTCATCCACTGATTTTTAAAAGAAATTGACAATAATTTCCTTGTTTATATTTAGAATATAATTATGGTGTATACTGAATGACGATATAATATCTTTTTAACTCATTTGTAATAAATAAAAGATTCAATTAGCCCATCACCCCCTTTTAGCTTGTCTTCAACTCCCCTCCATACCTTTTCCTTACATTTCGTGAACACCCATGTCGGAGACCTACAACACATGTGTCATTTTCTTTTTTTGGAAACGGCGAAATTTTATAAAAAAACAAAGGGCTACAGCCTTACAAGAAAAAGACACGACAAGCAAACAAACAATCAAAACCAACACCAACACCAAACAGGTAAATACAAGCCCCTAACAACAAAACTAGATTACATGATACTAAACGGGAACAACACCAATTGCCCCAATTGCAATTACCA